TAGAAGAGTGGTTCCCAACCTTTTTGCAAGAGGTTTGTGTAAAACGAGCAGATTATTTCCTGTTGAAAGGAACTTTTTACACAATTCTCTGTCTGTATTGTGTATTTGTGATTATTTCGAACAATCATAAGGACTTAATAGGCAATTTTCTTGACAAATGTAATGTTTTCTTGTCCTTGATGCTTGACCATTGTTCTATTAGACAATTTAATGTATTTTACATTTAGTGTTCCTCACAGAAGTGAACTAAATTCCTTTTTCCTCAACGGATCCCTTTTCTATCATTGTATAAACTGACTAAGTGACATATTTTATGGATATTTTTCATATTATATAACTGTACACTGAACCCAAACAGTGAACTCAGTAGCAGCAGGAAGTTTGTGTAAAATGAGAGATTTGGATTAATGTTGAGCAGATTATTTCCTGTTTAGGGACCTTTTATACAATTATCTGTCTGTATTATGTATTTTAGACCATTATCATGTATTTCAATCACTTCACTTTATATTTAGTTTTCTTCACAGAAGTGAACAAAATGCAGAGTTTTAGGCCTGTAAGAAAATGTAAAACATGTACACCTGTTTTAAATTTTCTTACACTACAAATATGTCACTTAGTCAGTTTACTAAATGATAGAAAAAAGGTTGCGAAACCACTGCTGTATTCCACTACACACTGATTATATGGTGAATGTAACATAATGTACATTTACTAAAGTACTGTGCTTAAAAATAAACTTGTACTTCACTTGAGTCTTTTGAGGAAATATCTAACTTATTGTACTTTTTACTTTTGTTTTTCTTTTATGCGAGAGGGACAGCTTGAAATACATGCTGTTAACACAATCTACCAGGGCACCCCTACATGGCATCTTTAGATAGTTTACAAATAATGATCTTAGAAAATAATATAAATAATTTCTGTCCTTAAATTACAAGATTAATTCCCACAAAGAAATAACAATATATTATCACCTCATGTCCATTTTAGCACTGCTTGGATTCAAGAACGTATTATTTTCATTTGTTTTTAACTTTAGATTCACATTTCTTTTTTTTTAAAGTTTTTTTTTGGCCTTTTTATTGCCTTTATTTTTGATAGTGACAGCCAAAGATAGACAGGAAAGGGGGGCAGAGAGAGGGATGACAAGCAGCAAAGGGCCGCAGATCTGATTCGAACCCTGGGTCGCCGCAGCAAAGACTCTGCCTTCGCACATGGGTTGCCAGCTCTACTGACTGAGCTAACCGGCAGTCTAGATTCACATTTCTATTATTATGGTGAAATAATTCAAAATCAGTGTCCAGCAACTTAACTGATAAGCTGTATTTACATGTCTGCCATTGATGTCTCACTGTTAAACAGGGTCTCTGTGTCAAATAACAATCAAAACTAACTGTTTGATCTTGTTTTAGTCTACTAATCATATATCAGTCACACAGATCTGGCAACAACAAAGCTGTCCCAGGAATATAAAATAAATAATATCAATTAAATGTAAATCCTGTTTCAGCCCAGTCAGTAAAAAGTGAAGAAAGTACAATATTTATTGGGAAAATCATTCAAAGATTAATTAAACCAAACAACAAAGTGCCCTTATGAACATCTTATGAATCATTCGTGGTTCTTACATTCATATTTAACTTCAAGTGTATCATATCCCACATTCCTATTTCCAAATAAAAGAAATAACTCAGCTCATACAAAACTATAACTGATAATATTTAGCTTATTTTTACCTACTTGTTTGTTACATTTGCAGGTTTTTTGCCATCTAAATTAAAGGCACATGTAAACGTTGCATTACAGTGATTACATACATACTTATCACTGTGTGTGGTGTAAATATATTTCACCTTTTTTTAATACATTTCTTGCTGATTCACCGTCACTGAAACATTACAGTGATATAGGTTTTTTTCTTCTTAAATTCTGACGTGTAATATTTTGTGGATTATTCTTTCCAGGAGAGGAAGTAGATCTTTCCCTGTCGGTCACCACAAACCAATTCAGTGGGCTTTTCAGGGTTCACCTCCAAATGCACAACAGGTCCTCCGCATACAAACATCCCCACCTAAAGGGAGAGAGAGAGAGACAGAGAGAGAGCACTTCTAAAGTTCACTAATTAACACATTGTATCTCATCTGTTGAATCCACAAAAATCCAAAGTGTTAAAACATCCATACACAGTTTAACGGAGAGGTTATGTGCCAAACTTTTGTTAATTTTTGACTGAGCCAGGCTAAATGTTTTGAGTCTTTGTGCTAAGCTAACCGTCGGCTGGCTGTGGCTTCATATTCAACGTACAGATATGAGGGTGGTATTGATATTTTTAAGACTTTGACGTACCTGCTTCTTGGTGTTTCTGTCCCACAGCTTCACTGTCCTGTCATAGGAGGCGGAGATGATGGTGCGCTCAGTGAGTCTCAGCACACTGATCCTGTCACTGTGGGCCTGGGGATAAGACATCATCATCAAAAACAACATAAAGTAAAGGCTTAAAGGACAACTATTACTGATGTTTGCTTTTATTTCCTTTACAGGCTTTTATTCTTAAAGTCACCTAAGACTTAAATTTAGGGCACGTTTACAGCTGAGATCATTAAGCCACAATTCTGATTATCAATTAATGATTTACTGAGCAAAACTGTCAAAACATTTGATGGTTCCACCTTCTCAAATGTGAAGACTTATTGCTTCTCTCTGTTGTTTTTCATTGTTCAAGTTAAATCGCTTTGGGTTTTGCACTGCTGGTTGGTTGTCACCTTCTTACGTCCCGCCCCTTTTTGCTCTGTGCTCCAATAATAGTGCAGCATTTAAAAAATTAAAGTGACATAAACAGTTGTATCTTAAGTTACCTAATGTTAGAAAAACACAAGCTAACTAGCTAGCTAATCTCCATCAATCGTTTTCTAATTTAAGCAAATACTGTGTTTTTTTATGCTGAATACAGAAATATACAATAATCTCTCATGTTCTGTTTCCGAGTGTCTCAGCTCTTACAGGTTTTCTGTTTCTCCACGTGGAAGTCTTAGGAGGCTGGATGAACCACATGTTGCCCTTCACGTCTCCGCACACCACAAAATCTGAAAGAAGGTAAAACACACTGGATAATCACGCAATGAACAAAACAAATAAAAAGTAGTAGCATTAGTCACAGTAGCTATACTTGAAGTAAGAATGGTAATTGTAACAGCCGCGGTATAAAACAGTACTAGCCTACTTGTAGATTTTAGTACCTATGTTCATGGTTATAGCTGATATCATGCTCCCCTTCTTCTCCTCCTCATCCTCGACCTCTAGTTCCATCGAGCTGAAAGCCGAATGGAATTTACTTTTGGGACCCATGGCAAACTGTGGGAGAAGAAGACAAGGCATCAGTATTTATTAAAAGTAAGTGGTGTATTACATTTTAGGTTTGACTTGATTTGTAACTGAAATGTAGGGACTGTTTAGATAATTACAGAATTAACATCTAAACTGAAATGATAATTCTATTATTAATATTGTTAATGTTATTATTTCATTGACAATAATATATTGTGTTTTTCATGAACTAGTCCGAGAGCTACAACAAATATTTTTCAGTGTTTTTTGATTATTAGTGATCAAAAACTCACAAAGAAGCCAATGTGAACTTCTCCCTTGGATTCGCCCACCAGCCAAATGCTTTTCTCGTCGTTGTGGATCAACCCCAAAATACGGACACTTTCGTGCCAACTGCAATAAAGACAAAATATAAAAATACACCCTTCAGTGTATAAGAAAAAACCCAACAGCACAGTATCTACAACTGAGCTGTCTGTCAACAGAAGCTGGATAAATGAAAACTTAAATATTAAAAACAAATCAATGTATTTACGAGGTGTGGTGCTGTACATACGTAATACTTTAAATAAGCCTTTTGACCCAGGATACAACTTCCTACAGACTCCTATGAAGTTCAGTTAAATTACTGTGCATTAAAAGACCGATATTCATTTAAAATATCAAAAATACTAAACAAATCTCATCAGTGATAACTTGTTGACCATTTCCACCATAAATGGGTTTGCTTTGATTAATAAATAATTATTATAATGATTCATTATTCCTCTGTCTCAATTCAACAAGGTCAAAACTAAAATTGATTCAAAAGGACCAGCATGTACGATTTATTGGTATCTTTATGATGTAGTTGCTGATAAACGACTATTTCTAAGGTAACAAAAACACAACAAGTCTTAATTACAGGTGATTATGCACTAATAAAAACATACCTACGAATATTATATTCAATTCCTGCCAATAGATCCTCATAAATGTGATACACTGAACCTTTAAAAATTATGAACATTTCAAGCAATTCAAGAAGAAGTGAGATTTCCTAATAATCAGCCTTGATCAACAATGATTCATTAAAACAACTGGTACACCTTTTGGGACATAAAGTACAGTATGTAGTGTTACCTATTGGTCGTTTGCGACCACCTGTCGTCCTCACTGGCTGTGACGCCAAATATTGTTTCATTTTTTGACACACCGATGAGCACTGTGCAGTAGTTGAGGCGGACCACTGTCTCTGTCACTTTGTAAGTGTTTACTTTCACCAGGCTGAAAGCAAAAGGAAACGCAGGACACAGCAGGACTGGTTAGTGTATACAGACAAACACGTCGTAACGTATTTGTTTCCATAGAAACGTCACTCAGAACAGAGAGAAAGATATAATATTCGGCATTTCTCCCCATCACATTCATCTTCTAACTGCAAATGAATGCTAGTATAGATAAAAAATGTTAATTATTGTTTTGTTATGTTGTGTTTTTGTTATGTTTCCCCGCCAGGTCTTTATTGTTAATGAGAATTTGTTCAAACCAAATATAAAATAAGATAAAAATGGAGAATAAGGGAGGTCCTGCTTGTTTACCTTGCGGTGCTGTGTTGTTGATTCCACACCAGCTTCCACACATCAACAACAGGTTTCATGTAGCTGACAGCAAACTGGTTATCGGGCATGGAGCAGATCGCTGTGATGGCGCTGTCTGAAGTCTGACACACAAACAGACACAACATGTGATTACACAAACATATACATTATGTGTTCAGCATACATCCCTTTTCTTGTACATGTCTTCACCTGCTTGTGACCAACCACAGTGTTGTGCTGCCATATTTCCAGCAAGCCGGACTCATAACCAGAAAGAACCAAATCATCTCTCGGAGAGAAGCACAGAGCGGAGACTGAGCCTCTCAGTGTGGGAGGACACTCTGAAAAGACAGGACACACAGGTAAACTGGAATACAGTAAAATATTAACTAGGTAGCAGCAGTAGTGATATATACAGAAGAGGATGGTTTCATTATGTGGATGAGCTGGAATATTCTGACTTTATTATTGGATGAATGAGCATTATTTTGAATAAACCTTTTATCTGGTTATAAAAAAAGAGACACTGAGGCATAGCATAATAGCATAATGTACACAGTGAAAGTGAAGGAAGCTCAATCAGTGTGAACTATTTTGTCCCACCACATATTAATATCTCAGAAGCTTTATAAAATACAGTGTGTAGACAGAATGTTTGCAATTGGTGCATTAACTTAAAATATACAGAAAACAACATATGTAGTGTAACCAAGGGAGTGATTTCCACTGAGTATGGGGATTTTTGTCCCTGTTTTCTCTCTCTAAACTGTGTCTTATTACAGTCCAGCCACCAGATGAGAGAAGACCTGAGTTAATAGCAATGTTGATTCACTCGCCCGACTCAACTGAAGCCCTAAAGCAATGAGCATGAGCAGCAGAGAGTGCTCACAGACGTTTTTGCTCTGAATTACATTTCTCTAGCAACATATAGGTTGCCTTATTAGAGAAGGTTGTGTCTGAAAGCAGCCTGATTGGAATACCCGAAGACAATAAACAGGGCTTAATATAAAAAGTTTTTCATAGAAAAGATACACACATAACATTGTATTGTATGAAGGCAGAATATAAAGTATTACTTGTTGTCCATGTCCAGCACCGCAATGAGCAGTCTTCAGAAACAGTGAGGAATTCTGGGAGTCCTTCTTTGCGCACGACTCCGTGTATCGCCCCGCTGTGACCCTGGAAGGTGCTGAAGTGCTCCACCTGTACGTAAACACACAGAATGTGAGAAAGGTTCAACAAAAACACTCTTATTAGGGAGTCATCTTTGCTCTGATCTAGATTTTAACCAAATTTGACACTAAAACAAACATTAATGTGAGAAATATTTGATTAAAATGGGAAAAAACCCTTTTGATTTTATTTTGACTGACAGACCTGTAGTGGTTTCCAGAGCTGCACTGTGCCATCATCAGACGCGGTGAAAACAGTCATTTCTGCTGCGTTGACTTCTTTGTTTACGTCTTAAAAACATTGCGGGAATTAAAAAATAACTATTAATATTAAACTAAGGCTTGGTCACTCATTATATTGTCCAATATGAAACAAACAGGGATGCGTGCCCTCGGGAACTCACCTGTATTTGGTAGGAGATAGCAGTGGTGGATACGCTGCTTGTGTGCAGCAATGTGGCAGATTTCTGTGTTTGTTTCCCAGGTCCAAACATGTAGCGCTCCCTCTGCACAGCCGGCGATCACATACTGTCCCTGCACAAAGAAATACCAACAAGTTAACACAGAAAACCTAATAATGAGGATTAAGTATATATTATATAGCCAGCTCAGACCTGCTGTCTCAACACTATACACAAAATATGGAGCTCATTTACTCCACCATACATCAATTAAAAGCCTAAAGGTTTTTTAGGAGAGGAGGAAACAACACATACTGTATTTTCTCTTATAGATAGATGTTTAATTTGCTCACCAGACAGCAGATGGATGTAAGAGGACTCCTCCAGGAGATTTCTTTGAGTTGTTGGCCCGCCTGCAGATCCCATAAACACAGCCTCCCATCATTTGAAGAACTAATCTGGAACCGAAAAGGAAGCTTGATGAAGACCCACATAAGACAGCACAGTAATATGATGTCAGGTAGTACCTCTGTACCTCAGGTTAGTTACATTTCTCTTACGACACAAAATGTAATAAAGATTTACCACACAGTCTGGAGTCCAAACACAGCCGGTGATCCAGTCTCTGTGAGAGTGAGGGAGCGACTTGGAGAGAACAGCAGGAGAAACACTCACATCCCACACCATCATGGCCTGAAACAAAGACGCCTGTCAGTACTGCGTTATACTGACCAATCCTACACTCAGATATCAATAAGGGTGGGCGAAATAACAGAAATACCTCCCTGTGTAACACAAAACAGTTCAACAGCTAACTACATCCTTCAAACTAATCATAAACACTTTACAGCAGGACGCTCACATTATTAGTATTAATACAGTCAGTATTGGTATCAAAAGCAAAATCCTGATATTGTCACAACACTGTAGAACAAACAAATCGTACCTTATCTTTTCCACCGGACAGCAGCTGTCCACCATCAGGGCTGAAAGCCAGACAGGTGACTCCCCCACCGTGGCCCCTCAAAATTGCATGAGGCTCAAGCAAGGGGTCACTCATGGCCAGCTCACTCAACAACCACAGGACAATGGTGAAGTCATCTAAGTCAATGGGAAATAATAAAACAGTCATTAGCACAAAGTGTGATGTTTAAAGAAGAGGAGACTGGCAAAATAACCTTCTATCTGAGAAATATATTGGAAACCATTATAGCATTTCTTTCTGAAGTCTAAGGACGAGTAAGTAACCCTTACCTGAAGCTGTGGCCAGGTATGTAGAGTTTTGCGCTAATGCCAGGATGACTCCTTGCACACCAAACATTCCCACCGTTTTTAGGCCTCCCTGCATCCCCTCCTCTCCGTCTTTACCCTTCCAGACCCGCAGAAGTTTGTCACTTCCTGCAGACACCAGCAGCTCGGGTTCAGTCTGCTCTGCGTTCAGAACGACCCACAGCAGGCACAGTACAGACACGTCACGGTCCTTGGAGGCCCAAATCTTCTCAGCTACGATTACAATAAAGAAAGTTATGGTCAGTTTGTGATTTTTTTTTTTTAAAAGCATGTGATTTTCACTGTGTGCAATATTCACTCAGGGAGATAGGAGAGTTAGGAAACAAATAAGAGGAGGTGACATAACATATATACTACAATATATAGAGTAGGTAATTTATGTATGTCCATGTTTTATATCCCTAACATATTGCCTGTGTTATTAGTCTTATTTTTAGGAGCATTAACTGAAACTCTTTGGGCAAGGAAGTATGTATGTTTTTAATTAATAAAGCTCAGAGCAGATGTCTTAAAGTACTTCACAATAAAAGACAAAGCAAAGAAAACACAGGCAAAATATAAGAGAAAGAAATTAAAGTAATAAAAAAAGAGAAAAAAGCTATGTCTGTTTCTTTAAAGTTTCTGTCTGTAAAGTTTTGATCCGAATTTTTTATGTTGCAGAATAATTAAACTGTGTAACAGTAAACTGAGAAATTAAAAGGTTGAATGATAGGAGCTTAAAAATTGAACCCATTCCTTCCTTCTTGTTTTCCTGTCAAGCATCTCCTGCATATCTGTATTTGTTCTATCGGATTGTGATTCACATTCACATAAACACACCTGAATCAAGACTGAAGAGTTTGATGCCATCGCCATGGTATCCAACAGCAGCATAGTCTCCATTAACAGCCACACACAGAGCAGCAGGCTCAGACATCACAGACTTCCGTTTCTTCACAGGAGGCGCCAGATCGTACTAAAAGACCAAAAGTGACGATGTCATACATATAAAAGTCTGTCAGATATAATTATACAGGCTATGACATTAAAGATGGCTGAAAACACTTGGACACAAGAAAAATAAGAAGCTTACTTCATCACTTTTTAATGCAATGACCGAACGTCCAAGTCCTCCTGACCAGAGCTGGAGCTGTTTTACACGAGGACAAGAAGACACAGAGAAAAAGGAGGCTATTCATTTAAAAATAAGTGACAATGTGCTCTTAAGAGGAAACAGGTGCAGGAGCAATGGTGTAAAGGATTGCAAGGGTTTTGTTTTCCCAAAGAAAATTTTAGTGTTAGAAAACCAAACGAATCTGTCTGTCTTATACATTTTTGTGAATTATAATTGATAACTGATGAACTGACAAAATGACTGATATGTTTCTTTTATATGTTTTCAGGAAACAAACACATGGAAAAGTTTGCATTTGTGTATCTACTAGAACACATATCCCAGTCTTACAAATGTGTAAAATGTTTTAGCTTTTTTCTAAGCAACAAATCATCATATGTTTGTATATTTGGGGTTAAACAGTAAAAAAACCAGTACATTTAGTAATTTTATTATTATAATCCAGGCGCTCTGGCCTGCAGTCTCAAATTTAATGTCTCTGATCGTGGTTCAGTGTGTACAGTACCGTGTGGTCGGAGCCAGCACTCAGCAGCATGCTTCCTTCATCCAGGAAGGTGAGGGCCTCTGTGGCCCCGGAGTGAGCCTGGAAACATCCCACGCAGGTGGAGGTGGGCACTGACCACACCCTGACCTCGCCAGACATAGAGCCAGAGCAGAGCATGGAGGAGGAGGAAGAGAAGGAGAGACTGCGCACTGACCGCTGGTGACCAGACAGGGACTGAGAGAACAGACACAAGAGAAACAGCGCTTAGTTTCATCTCAAGTGATGGAAAAATATCACAAAAGCAGGCTACTTCTGGAAGAATAATACATGTAAGGCATGCACATTATGGATTGGCTCTTCAGCCCCCTCTTTTTACAGTTTCATAATAATTACTTTTAATTTGAAAGAGCGAACATTAGGCTTACTTTAACTCACTATACGACCACCCATTTATTTGGCCTCTCCTCATGATAACTCACCATTACAGTTTTATTCTGGAGCCAGTTCCACACAATCACATTCCCATTCCAACAACCAGCAGCCAGCAGGTGATCCTCGGGGTCAAAGGCAACACAGTTCAAAGGGCTGGTGCTGGGCAGGGCCGCTACCTCATGACCTTTAGCAGAGGACCACACCTTACAGCAGAACAACATGAATTAGGTGATATAAAATGTAATAACAGTGAACAGCATAATTTGGTAGCGGTAAATTCTATTAGATATTTAAATTCCTCATTAACTACAACAAAGTGGTTTTTAGTCTATTCTGGCATACACATAAACTAAATAACTAATAAATAATAAATGGAACAAAAAGTGCAGAAATACAAACACCAGAAATAAACTAAAGCAAACAAATAGGTTTATGTGTTTTGGTTATGACTAACTTTCAGCATGAAGTCCAGAGACACAGTGGCAATGTGCTTCCTGTCCACACTGATGTCACTTGCTGTTATCACATTAGTGTGGGCTTCAATAAGAGCAGTCCTGCATAGAGCACAAGTTATTTAATGCAAACATTATTAGCCTGCGCTTTGTGAGGTATTTTTTTT